GCACCTACAAGCGCGCAGCTTGCAAGGGCTTAGGGGGGTTTAGGTGGGTTTAGGGTTAGGTTCCCAACCTTCTGGACTTTTTTCGGGCCTCTGTAAGCCCTTCAACACGATGGGAGAAAATCCAACCCTAAAGCTCGTACTGGCTTCGAGTTGCAAGGCGGGGCCCCCCTAAAACGAAAATTCAGGCTAGCCCCTAGCATGCCTAGAGTTTAGGGTTTAGGGTTTTGGGATCAGGGTTTAAGGGTTCAGGGACTAGGGTTTAGGTCCAGTATACAGTAGGTATATACTTGGAGCTTCTGATACTAATGCAAATCCAGCGTTTGGGGAGTCTATGACAAGCACGTACTCTTGACCCCTAGGCTAAGGATACCATACTACCATCAGCCCACATAGTTTAGGGTTTAGAGCTATGGGTTATGTCTTGCTAGGGAAAAAGCGTCCGGTTGGGTTGTATCCATCAACAGTAGGCTTCCTAAGTCCTAAAGCATAAACTCTGGGCCGAGAAAAATGCGAAACCGCTAACCTTTAAGTGCAAATCCTATCCGCAAGGGTCCGCCGGTTTTGAACCCTAAACTCTAAGCCGTGAAAAGACTTTAGGTCCAAAGCTCTAAGCCTAAGCCTCCGTGTACATATATTTATATATATATATGTGTACACATACACATCATCCCTATTGCCCCTACCACCTCTTCAAAAGGCTTTCTTCGGGTTATCCCCATTTTGAGCATGGGACACTGCATAGTCGCAAGATAGAGTCAGATGATAGTCTTCTTCTGGTTTTAGTGTTGTCGTGCTGGGTTCAACTTCCAAAAATTTCCCAATATATCGGGGTAATACAGGGGTTCCATTGGGGTTATATAGGGTTCGGAAAGCACGAAGCCCAAACCCTAAGTCTTATACAAGCTTGTAGACTCTCAAACGTGGCTCTATACTTGGTTCAACTTCCTCATCTGGGAGTAGACTCTCTATATATCCCTGCACATCGTCAATATAGAGCCCGTCTATAATCCCGTAAACATCCTGCATGATGTCACTGAAATACCAAATCAGTATATTGAAATGCACTAGTTCCCAAGGTATTATATGCCCGTCGTCATGCAGGATTGTTATTCAAGTGCCCCCGTCGGGTCCCACCCCTAAACCCTAAACCCCAAACCCTAAACCCTTGACTGGACACTAAGACTCCGCGCCTTAGAGGCGGTGCCAGCGGAAGGCAACACCTTGGGGTAAATGGATATGAGCTTATAGTTTAAACCCCTTAAGGGTCTACATACAGTTTAGGGTTTAGGGATGAGGGAACTCCAAAAAGGGGGATATGTAGGGAGCTTGGAGGAGTTGTTAAGGAGATACTAGGAGTTTAGACCATAGCTCATCTGAACTTGTAGCCGCAAGTGCCAGCTATTACCCCCTAATTAGGAGATATACTGGGAGGTCCGTTGTACTTATAACCGACTTAGTAACTCTAGTTACAACCCAATTATCAGTCTCATAACTGCAGTTACCCTAGGTCTAATTGGGTTATAACTACAGTTGCGAAGTAGGTTAGAAGTACAACGAACCTCCAAGTCACCCCTTAAGCTGTAGGTAATTGTTTTTTAAGGACACATAGGGATACTTAGCTTTAGGGTTCAGGGTTGAGGCTTTAGAGTTTTAGGTGAGGATGTGTACTTGGAGGCCCATTGGACTTAGTAACTACTTAGAACTGGGCTTATAACCCTGCTTATAATCCCCCTAAATGGGCTTATAGGGGTTACCCCAATGATAAGTAGGCTGATAAGCCCAGTTATAAGTAGTTACTATGTCCCATGGACCTCCAAGTACGGATACGTAGGGATACTACAGGCATAAATAGGGATATCTGGGCGCATTTTGGAGTACACAGGGATGCACGGGGTATGAGGACTTATGAGGTAGGGTCTGATTAAGGGTTTCTTTTGAGTGTATATATGGTTCTTTGGGAATATTGGTAAATGCATGTAGTCCGGTTGGGGGGATATGTCCGCTGGTGAAAGTTGTGGTCCATTTTGGGGGGCCCTTTTGACAACTCCCCATATAGGGATACAAACAGCGTGTGGAGCAAACTTTGCCGGACCCTGGAGACATGGCATTTTTGTGTTGGAAACATTAGTCGGTGCGAGATTTCCTGAACCCACAAGACGGATATGTGGGGGTATATACGGGTTCCTGGGATTTCTAGGGGTTTTATTGTCCAATAGCCAGCTTGGCCGTCTACGTAGTCTGGATACGAAGCGGCCCCTCTAATTTGAATAGGGTTCAGGGGTTTAGGGTTTAGAGGTTCTTCTAATTCGAACAGGGTTTACGGTATAGGGTCATGGGGTACCATATTCCTAGACTAAGTTTGTAGTTATGTAAAGAGCATGTAAATTTATCTGGTTCAATCACAGAGGGATGTTTACATTTTAGTTCCTTGCCGCTGAGTATATGGGATACTACCCAGCTTGTAAGAAAGGGTTGTGGTTCTAGAGCACATTGAACAACATGCAGCAGCTTTGTTACCCTCTCATGAAATGTTGCGAATAGCCTCTCTGTCTCTAGCATGGGTCTCTCAACCCTCAACCCCTAACCCTCAACCCCGAAGCCTAACCTGAAACCCTACAGCCTACGTCCCAAATCCTCAACCCCAAAACATAAACAATTGTTGTCTCCTCTATGCCAGTATATAGCCCTATACATGCCTACATATTCCTGAAACCTACGCGCCCTAAACCCTAAACCCCAAATCCAAAACCCTAAGCCCTGCGGCATCAGGATGAGTTAGCCAAAGAACTGCTGACAACCTCGCTCCGACCTTCAAGGTTGAATCCCTAAACCCTAAACCCCCAAAACCCCTAAACCCTATAGTGGCTTCCATTTTCTTTTCCATTATCCCTACATCTCCCTATAACCTACTACATATCCCTAAACCCTACCTGGACTTTTTGAAGCTGCAGGCGCTTTTCGACCACCGCTCCTGCAGATCCCTGGAGTGGGTCGACCAGTCCGTGCCGCGTACTACTTCCATCTCGGCCCCTCGCCCGAGGGTTTAGGGTTTAGGGTTCAGAGTTCAGGGTTCAGGGTTTAGGGTTTAGGCTTTAGACTAGAGGTTTAGGGTTTAGGGGCTTCCATCTCGGCCACATGTCCCTTGCAATGGGTTATAGGGGTAATATTACATGTAGGATACAAAAGCGAAATATGGGGTTCAGGCTCCAAGCCATAAACGCTGAATCCTGAACTTTAGATTCCAAGCCCTATACCATGAATCCTAGGCCCCTAAAACCGCAAACCCAAATCCCTAAACACCTCAACCCCTAAACTCCTTAACCAAGCAAACTCCCCAAAGCCCTAGGCCGCAGTCTCGCTGCTTCGGACGATGGTCTCCGGCAGCATGTCGCGAAGGTCGGAGCCTTTAAGCTGTGCGAGACCCTGAACCCTAAACCCAAGATCTTGGGGTCTTCTTGGTGAGGGTTTCTTATTCGAATTTTTTTTGCCAGAATCCCGACAGAACAGTACATGAACCATAGTCTAAAGTCATGAAAGGGAGGTTATTACATGAAATATATAGGGGACGACTATAGGGGCTATTAAGGGGATACTAGGAGATTAGACTATAGCTCACATAACGTATAGGAATCTAATGTTTAAACGGCCCCCAAATCTATCCCAGTGGACCTGTTGAGCGTCTCAGGCCCATGTCTAGAGCAGCTAGGGATTCGGGTCTAGGGTTTAGGGCTTCACAAGCTCCAAGAGCCATGCGCCTGAGACTTGACATCCTAAGTCCTGAGCTCCTTTCAGTAATGTAACAGTAGTATGAGTGACACATGCCAGTCCTCCTTGGCACTTAGCTAGGACCTTTGAACCTTCATGTTTTGGGGTTCCCCTATATTCCTATTGCATGTACATGAAAGATAACTTTCTACTAGAGGGGCTAAGTTCCATGGTGAGTCTTATTAAGTGGCATGGTGAGGCTTACTAGTGCATAGCGGCTGTAGCATCAGACTAAACCCTAATTAAACCCCGATCCCTGAAACCCTAGTCCCCAAACCCTAATGGCTAAACCCCAAACCCCCTAATCCCTAAACCCTAAAGCAAGAATTATCATAAGACGCTAGGTCGTTGCAGGGTGGTTGGCGAGGAATGCGAGCCCAAATCAACCAAGTTAAGCACGAGAGCCGTGGCGACGAGCGTAACCCGCATGAGGAGTACATCCCCGGTGAGCGAGAAGGTCAGAGTTTAGGTTTACTTGGAGGTTCGTTGTACTTATAACCTACTTATTAACTGTAGTCATAACCCAATTATATCTAGGGTAACTGTTGTTATGGGATGTATAATTGGGTTATAACTACAGTTACTAAGTAGGTTATAAGTACAACGAACCTCCAAGTAGGTTTAGCGACAAACAGAAGTGATGACAAGAGACGGCCTGACAATAATGGTAGTAGTGACAGTAATGATTAAGTCCTTATGCTTCATCATTCTGGGATTTCGAGGTGTCATTTTGGCTTAGGGCTAGGGGTTGGAAGATAATTCCCCAGATGCGCAGAACAAGGATTCACAGGTTCCAGGGTTTGGGGCTTGGGAAATCTAGGGCTTTAGTACTCTTAGGTCCTCTGGGTTTCAATGTCTTTCTCCATCAGTGGCGAGTTGCTGCTGCAAAGCGAAGATCAACTCGAGGAGAGCCGCAAGAACATCCATCTGCTTTATGACGTGATGGAGGCTGAAGCCATCCAACTGAAATGAAAATATCCCAAAATTAGGACTACCTTTCTACGGGTCCCATAATAAGGATTATAGTATTTTGGGGTCTATTTTGGGGTCCCTCACTTTGGGAAACTACCAAATGGAACGCTGAATTTTTGGAGGCCCAGTTGAACTGGTACTTCCATGTGGTGGGGCCGCTGCATTAAGAAGGATTTTGCCTATTGCGTTTGCAGCGGATGATATGGCAGACAGCGCCATGAATATGCTTCCAGTGCTTCTTAATTATTCAGACTGCGAACTCTAAACTTTAACTCCTACACAACAAACTAGGCCCTACCAAGACTACAGTCGGTGTGCAAGGAGAGCAAAAATAGCCTAGACCTTCCACCCACAGCAACCCCCTCTCCCTATCAAGGCGTTGCGGTTTTATTAGTCCCCACCCACCTACTGTTAAAGCCCACAACATGGCACCATTACTATTCGAGGGAATATAGTCCCCCTTAAGTAGATAGAATATGGGCTATATGGAGATCTTAATATAATATACACAAAGCCATATTCTATCTACTTAAGGGAGACTATATGCATTAATTAGTAGGGGGTTGGGGAGGGTTGGTTGTTAGGAGGACGTGTTCAGGTTCAACCCTAGACCTTGAAACCTTCATCCCTAAACCCTCATCCCTAAAACCCTAATCCCAAAAATCTAAGCTCTAAACTTCATAAAGCCTCATCCCCAAACCCTAGCCCCTAAACTTTAAAACCTAAACTAAAAACCCTTAAACCCTAAAGCCCTAAACCTAAACCCTAAACCCTAAACCCTAAACCCCTAAACCCTAAACCCCTAAGCCCCTACAGCCGGAGGTCGACCTCTCGGGCGGGAAGCTGGGGCGCTCCTGGCAGGGCCTCACCGCCCCTTAGCTGCGACCAGGGTTAAGGTTATGGTCCCTTTAGGGTTTAAGGAAGGGTTTAGGG